CAATGGGGAAAGGATTCCCTGTTTAATAAATGGTGTTGGGAAAACTGGCTAGCCATATGCAGAAAGCTGAAACTGGACCCCTTCCTTATAGCTTATACAAAAATTAACTCCATATGGGTTAAATATTTAAACATAAGACCTAACACCATAAAAACCCTAGAACAAAACCTAGGCAAAACCATTCAGGACATAGGCACAGGTAAGGACTTCATGAATAAAACACCAAAAGCAAGAGCAACAAAAGCCAAAATAGACAAATGGAACCTAATTAAACTTAAGAGCTTCTTCACAGCAGAAGAAACAATCATTAGTGTGAACCAGCGACCAACAGAATGGGAAAAAAATTTGCAATCTACCCATCTGACAAATGGTTAATATCCAGAATCTACAAAGAACTAAAACAGATTTACAAGAAAAAAAAAAACTCATTCAAAAGTGGGCAAAGGACATGAACAGACACTTTTCAAAAGAAGACATATATGAGGCCAACAAACATATGAAAAAATGCTCCTCATCGTTGGTTATTAGAGAAATGCAAATCAAAACTACATTGAGATGCCATCTCATGCCAGCTAGAATGGCGATCATTAAAAAATCTGGAGACAACAGATGCTGGACAGGATATGGAGAAATAGGAACACTTTTACACTGTTTCTGGGAGTGTAAATTAGTTCAACCATTGTGGAAGATAGTTTGGCAATTCCTCAAGGACCTAGAAATAGAAATTCCATTTGACCAGCAATCCCATTACTGGGTATATATCCAAAGGAGTATAAATTGTTCTATTATAAAGACACATGCACATCTATGTTCATAGCAGCACTGTTTACAATAGCAAAGACCTAGAACCAACCCAAATGCCCACTGATGATAGACTGGACAAAAAAATGTGGCACAAATGCACCATGGAATACTACTTAGCCAGAAAAAATGATGTGTTCATGTCCTTTGTAGGGACATGGATGAATCTGGAAACCATCATTCTCAGCAAACTGACATAAGAACAGAAAATCAAACACTGCATGTTCTCACTCATAGACAGGTGTTTAACAATAAGAACACATCGACACAGGGAGGGGAACATCACACACCGGGGTCTGTTGGGGTGGGTAGGGGAGGGACAGTGGGGTGTGGGGAGGTTGGGAGGGATAACATGGGGAGAAATGCCAGATATAGGTAATGGGGGGATGTAGGCAGCAAACTACCCTGCCATGTATGTACCTATGCAACAATCCTGCAAGATCTGCACATGTACCCCAGAACCTAAAGTACAATAAATAAATTTAAAAAGAAAATTAGGCTCAATTAGCCACTTGGGATACATCCTGAAAGATTGGCTCTTTCAGGTTCACATTTGTTTACAGAAAGAATAATAACACTATCCTCTTTAATTTAAACTCTATTCCTCAATTGCATGACTTTAGCTCAGCCAATGATCTATCTTCTCCTACCCAAACTAGGCATTAATCTTGCTCAGTCATTCTCTATTGCTGTTGCACGTTTCATTCCCAGGGGAAGATTTTAATAGAACTCCCAATACCTATGTTGCCTATTTGAAACAATCAAATCAATATATCTTGGTATCAGAGCTGAGCATCAATATTTTGAAAGAACCTTGTTTTCTGTAGTGTGCTGCAAAGTTACAAAACCAATCGAACCCGCAGCCCAAAGACCTTGTTGCAAAATATTAAGAATATTTCAATTGTTTTTGTTGCCTATACATCCATCAAGAATTGGAAAAGTCACAACCTTGATATATACTCCAGTCATGAGGACAAATGTATGAACTATCAGAGGGGAGTCAAAGGGAATCCTAAAGGTACAGATACCACAATTTGTAAATTCTTGTTCCACCAAAATGTTATGCAGTGGTCTCTCACAAGACATAAGACAAAGAAAGGAGGTGAGAGATACACAGATAAAGAGATTAGTATTTCTAATCTATATCTATATCTAGTTCAAGTCCTGGTTTCTGCTGTACACTGCTCAATAAAAAGTTGAAGACCTTAGGGTGTAGGATCACAGGATATAAACTTTTGGCAAAGTTTTCTTCCAGCCATGCAGAGAGACAAGCACTAAGTGAGGTGTCCATTCAGATTAGCACTGAGTGTGTTGAGGCAGGAGCTGCTGTACATTGTGGGCCCTGAGATCTTTGATGCTTTGGTACTAAGGCCCAGGATTCATGACACAACTCAATAGGGAAGTCATAAAAAAAAAAAAAAAAGTCTATGGATAAATTTTTCACCCAATGGAAGAGTTCAACTTCTTTCATTTATTAAAAATAAGTAGGATATTTCTTACACATCGAAGAATATACGACTGTTACACACAGAAACAATCTCTTAAGACTAATGATTTTCTGATGTAATCCCAGCTACTGAGGCAGGAGAATCGCTTGAGCCTGGGAGGCAGAGGTTGTGGTGAGCCAAGATCCCACCACTGCACTCCAGTGTGGGTGACAAAGTGACTCTTTTTTTTTTAAAAAAAAAAGGACATTATTTGAATAAGCCACCTATCCTTGTCATTGCAGATTGGCTCCATACTGCTGCAGTCCTTCAATATGGAGCTTACTTACACTGAACCTAGTGGCCAGGTGAAGTGAAAATTAAAAATCTTCAGAGATCTTGTCTGAGCATGTGCAATGCCTGGGTAGTTTGTTTTATTTTCCCCATTTCCTAGTATAAGCAGCTGCTTTTGAATGCACACAGAGTTTTGAATTTCCCACAGAGTTTTGTACCACTTCTTAGTCTTCAGATGGTCTTTTGCATGTATTCATCTGTAGTTCTTGCCCAGGCAGCTGTGTGTGTGTATTCCTGTTCTCTCCCACAGGTTTTATGAGCAGTGCTCACTGCTTTTCCTGCCTGAAATACAAGGGAAACACAGTCCTGTCATTCAGTTAGCCTTCAGCTGTACACAATAATTTGAAAAGGAGGTTTGCTCTGTTCCCTTCACTTTGGGAGAAGAAACTAACACCTGGGCTGCTACTGTTTCCAGACCAAGATCATTGCTGCACCAGTGAGGTAGTGTGGGAAGGGCAGGAAATTGTTGTAAAGCTGTTTGTTGAAAAATTGTTGAAACTGGTTTCTTCTTGACTGGCCATATATTTAGTTGCTGCAAGTCTTTGACTTTTCTGGAGTTCCTATAAAGTTAGTTCAGTAGTTTCCGGGTGTTTTCTTGGGTTTCTATAGGAGATCAAGAGTTGGAATTTTTTATTCCACCATCTTGGTGACATCATTCTCCAAATTTTTTAATTGAAAAATAAAAATTATATATTTTAATGGTGTACAACATGATGTTTTTAAATAGGTATACACTGGGAATGACTAATTGAGCTAATTTCCATATGGTTTATCTCACATAGTTACCATTTTTTGTAGTGAGTACTTTGAAAATCTACTCTCTCAGCCAATTTCAAGTATGCAACACCTTATTAACTTGTTACTATATTGTATAGTAGGTCTCTTGACCATCTTTCTCCTATCTGAAATTTTGTATTCTTAGACCAACATGTTCCAAATCCCTCTCTCCACTGAATAATGTGCTAACCAGTATTCTACTTTCTTCTGCTATAATTTTGAGTTTTTTTAGATTCCACATAAGTGAGTTCAAGCAGTATTTCTCCTTCTGTGACTGACTGGATTATTTCCCTTCAAATAATGTCCTCCAATTTCATCCATGTTGATGATTTTAAAAATTCTGAATAAATGCACCTAAATAAAATTATCATCTAAATCACTGTTAAGTGTACAGTTCAGGGGTATTAAGTACATTCATTATACATATATAGAATATATATAAATATATATTTAAGTACTTTCCTCATTTTTGATCTAGGTTGTTTGTTTTCTTGCTGAACAGCAGTACCATGTGACAACCAAAATAGTGATCCTGATACAAGAATGATATTAATCCATCCAACACCGCAAGCAATTTTTATAATCATATTCACTCATCTCTCAGTTTCTACTCCTTGTCCTCATCCTTGAAAATAATTATTCTTTCTTTCTATAATTTTGTTCTTTTGAAAACATTTTATAAAAAGGAATCAACAGTATGTAATCGTTAGGGATTTGTTTTTTTCACGCAACCTAGTTCCTTGGACATTTGTTCATATTGTTATGTATATTAATACTTAGCTCATTTTAGCTGATGAGTAGTATTCTATGATATGAATGTACAGATTTTATTTAATCTTCCTATATAAAGGATATGTGGGGTGTTTTGGGGTTTTGTTGCTGCAAATAAAATATGAACATTCATACATAGGATTTTGTGTGAACATATGTTTTAAAACATTTGGTAAATATCTACTGCAGTTTCTGTGTTGTAAAGTAGTTTTATATTAGTTTGGGGTATTTTTAAGAAAATAGTTTTTCATTTTTACCATTTTATATTCCTTGGAGAAATGTTTGTGTATTCCACGTCCTCTGAGGAATGGTTTATTTTTATTTCTAAGCAACTTGTAGAGAAAGGGGTGGGGAGGTAAATGAGTATGTTATCTTCAGCACCTTTGTTGTCCTGTCTCAGATTCTCCTTTGGGTGTCTTATGGGTTCAATTAAGTCCTGTAAAAAAGACATTCCGCAGTCCCAATCAACAGTTGTGGCCTGAATGTTTCCCCCAAATTTCATGTACTGGAAACTGACTCCTCAATGTGACAGTTTTGAAAGGTGGAGCTTTTAAGAGGTGAATGGATCTTGAGGGCTCTGCCCTCATAAATGGATTAATACATTCGTGGATTCATACAATATGTTATTGTTGATTATATTTACTATACTTTACAATAGAAAACTGTAACTCGTTCCATTTAACTGTAACATAATAGCCATTACCTAACTTCTCTCCATCTCCCTATCCCCCCATCTTCCCCAGTGTCTTTTGACAGGCTTCAAATTAGTCTTGGAAGGCTTTTGACTTTGGCAAGATACAATATACTATATTTTTCTTGTACTTTTCCTGCTTTACATATAGAAATACGCATTTCTCAGCTTCTGGTACTCACACAGCTGCCGTGCCAGGTCCTGCTCGGCCCGCTGCAGGGCGGCCTCCAGTTCAGACAGCTTGGCGTCGGCATTCTTAATGGCCAGCTCCCGCTGCTCTGCATCTGAGATGGCGGCCTCCAGGGAAGCCCTTTGGCTTTTGAGGCCCTCAAGCTGGCGCTGGACGTTGAGAGTGCCACCTACAGGAAGCCGCTGGAGGGCGAGGAGAACCGGCTGGAGTCTGGGACGCTGCCGATCCCAGCAGCAGCTATGCGGGTGGTCTGAGCTGGGCCTATGGGGGCCTCACAAGCCCCGGCCTCAGCTACAGCCTGGGCTCCAGCTTGAGCTCTGCTTGAGGCACCAGCTCCTTCAGCTGCACCAGCACCACCAGGCCGTAGTTGTGAAGATCAAAACCCGCCATGGGAAGCTGGTGTCCGAGTCTCCTGACGCCTTGCTTCGGTGAACAGTTGCCCCAGCCCCTCCCAGCCTTCCCCTCCTGAGGCTGCCCCAGAGCCCGGAAAGTAGGCCGCCGTGCAGGGGAGCACAGGGAACAGGCGACTCGCCTACAGAAGATTTTTAGGAGTAATTCATCCGCATCTGTTGCCTATTTATCCCTGCATATTACATAATATTATAATGTGTTTCCCTAAGGAAACGGATGGCTGATCTGCATCTTGAAAGAAGTCTAAGCAGAAGAGAGTGCAAAAAGGGATAGGGAGAAGCTCAGGAAAAAGCAGAAACCCTGGAAGCACAGCATATGTGGAAACAGCCAGAGCGTCAGTAGGGCAGGAGGTGGTGTAGAGAAAAGAAATTAGCAAGATCTGGTTGGAATAGAGACAGGAGAAAGAATCTCAAATGATCCCACACAGTGCAGCTATGGGGTTTAGGCTGCATCCTGGATAATTGTAGGTCATCATACAAGTATCCAGGAAGAACTGTTCATGATTGTAATGTCTCTCCTAAATAACTTTTTCCTGCCAATACTCTGTTGAAGATGAAGAGAGATCATGGGAGTCACAGGGCAGAACTCACAGATTATATTGCACCACCTCTAGACTCCTCTAGGTTGTTCTTTGAGAACAAAGGGGAGGAGCACATAAGGTTTATTTCTTGACATTAATGATGATCAATAAAAGATCAATAGTTTGAGTCTCTGCATTATTCATAATCAATGATTGAGTTTCTTCTATGTGCCATTCATTGTTCTGGGACCTTAGGATTCCAAGAGAGAAAAAATAATATTAATGCTTACATGGAACTTCTGCATAGGCACTTGACTGTGTCTAAACCTTCCCTTGGCACATGCATTCTATACATGATTCTGTTTTTTTAATTAAAAAAAGGACTATGAGAAGGAGATAATAGAGAAAGCTCTATAATCTTATCTGCTGTCTATTATTGTCAGTCTCTTAACCAGGAAATATCCAAAGACTGCCTCCAACATGGATTTTTAGAAGATGCAAATATTCCCTCATTCTTTGTGCTATTATTTATAAAGCTGTATGAGAGCCTAATTAATTTGTGAATCCATGAATATATTAATCCATTTATGAGGGCAGAGCCCTCAGGATCCATTCATCTCTTAAAAGCTCCATATTATAACGTGTTATACTGTATATACCAATTGTTATGGTTTATATCTGTGTCCCCATGAAATCTCATGTTGAATTGTAATCCCCACTGTTGGAGGTGGTGCCTGGTGGGAGGTGACTGGATTGTGGGGGTGAATTTCTCATAAATGGTTTAGCACCATTCCTTTGTTGGTACTGTCCTCATGAGAGTGACTGAGTTTTTATGAGATCTGGTGTTTTGAAGGTGTATAGTCCCTCCTCCCTCATTCTCTTGCTTCTTTTCTAGCTGTGTTTCTGCTCCACCTTCGCCTTCTGCCATGATTGGAAGATTCTTGAGGCCTTCCCAGAAGTTGAGCAGATGCCAGCATCATGCTTCCTGTACAGCCTAAATAACCATAAGTCAATTAAAACTATTTTATTTCTAAATTACCCAGTCTTAGGTATTTCTTTAGAGCAATGTGAGAATGGACTAATACACGAATCATAGTAACGCAGCATGAAATATGAAAGACGAGTAAAGGAGAACAAGCACCACGAGTCACCACTGGATTTGGGCACTGGGGGCCATTGTGGCATCTGACAGTGCCAGGATGTCAGAGGGAAGCTTATCGACAGTGGGATCCAGAAGTAATGAGATGTGGAGAACTTCAGAGAGATACTTGAAGTGGGGTAGGAAAATTATTGGTGTTTGTTTATGAAAATAGTATTAGAAAGCCAGAGAAAAGGAAAAGCTGAAAAGGTTAGTGATCAGCACGTGTGTTAAGGTAACTTCTTGAGTTATCCTAGCTTGGTCTGTTTGTACCTTGCAATTCTGTCACATCTGCATTCCCCAGCTCATTTTGAGCAGACTGCCTGGGCCTTGGTAGTTTTTACTTGTCAATCTCTGAAGGGCTGTATACAGGAGGTGCTTAAAACTTCACGTGGAATTGTTTGTAAATGCTTGATGACAGGTGAAAGGTTATGCAAGTGTCCCAGACAGGACCTGAGCTAAAGAGAAAGAAATAGAGGCAGGGAGAGACAGAAAATGAGACAGAAGGGAGATAATAAGATTATTTCTTTATACTTTCTGTGGTAGAAAGCCCGATTTTGCTGTGCAGTGTTCAGTAACCATGGCCTGAACAGGCAAAGACCTCAGAATAAATGACAATGTTGTCCCCAAGGGAAGAGATATCCTTGTCAACATTCTTTCTGTCCCCAGGGATAGAAACAGGCACAAAGTTGAGAGGACCATGCAGGTTGCATTGAGTGTTGCAGTGGTAGCAGCTGAGAGCAGTGCAGCCCAAAGAACTTTGTGCTTTGGTGCTAAGACCCTGGGTTCAGTGCACACCTTAATGGCAATCTCCATGAGAACAATGTCTGATGCTGAATTCCCTAGCAAGTGACAGAAATTGGATTTCTATTGATTGGTTAAAGTGGAAGAAGTTGATATTTTCTGTGCACCAGAACCTGTGCTTGCAAATTCATACCTGTTCACAAAAACAGTCTTTCAGGAATAAGAAAGGCATGGGCCATAACATACCTGGGCAGATAGAGGAGTGGCCTTCTGGTGGTAATTTTCATATGGAAAAGATGGAAAGATATGCTAGAGTAGGAGTATGTACAGATGAAGATGGAGGCAACTGAGTCAGTAGATGGTAGTTATGGCCTTCAGTGTTATCAGCTAAGTATGATATGAAGACTAAAAGGAAGAGGGGGACCTTGGTAAGAATGAAATTCTGGATTTGCCAGTGAGCAATGTGTGGCAGATAAGTCTGAATGCAAGAGTTTCAATCAGCAACAAAGGTTCCTCAATGAAAGCGTAATTCTTGAAACACATTGGCTTTCTCCCTGAAGAGTTAAATTCTGTTGATCTCTGCTCTCTCAATGAGAAGAAGCTGTCCAGGAGGACCCAGGGGAAGACAGGATAAACCTCAGAGGCTTCCTTATGATTGACCATGTATGGGAATTTTGGGATATAGAAACTCCTGTGCTCATCTTCTATAATTATCTTTACAGACATTCATCCAATCAAGGAGATTAACTTGTAATTGCATTTTCTCTGTAAAGGCTGGCTAAAATGTATGTCTATAAAGGTTAAAGAAACCAACTAAATTTAAAGAAGATCTCATGTACCTTTGCCTCTCTAAGAAATGCTTGTATCATTTCATAATTTATTTTGCTTACATAAATGTTCCATAAATTTTAAAATGGTAAACTTGAATACATTTCCTTATTCAACTAGTTCTAAGAGAAAAAATTGAGTTTTTCATTCAATTATCTGTATAGTTATATACTTATGCCTCTTTTAAAATATTTATTGACTCTCTTAGAAGCATTAAAAGAAAACTTCACTAGGTAAACAATTCAGTTATTTGGGCACAAAAATCCAAATATGTTTATTGTCAATTTGGATAGTTTTCAAATAATATTTCTCTAGACCAAAAGAACTCTTATTTCCACTGAAGTAAAAAATGATAATATTTGTGGTTTTGTGTTCATGTAGCATATTTTGACAAGGTTGATTAAATAAATTTATCACAGTTATATGTGCCTGGTGTCATTTATGTATTAAATAAGTTATTAAGATATTATATTGCTTAAAATGAAAAGCTTTTAAAATCATTATAAAGTTAATATTCATATTCTTTTCTAGTAAAATCCGTGAATATAATATGTGTTTCCATTTATTTATGTCTTGTTTAAAATCTTTAAATGATATTTTGTAGGATTCTTCCTAAGTATATTCCCAAACATGGTATTGTTTTGATGCTATTGAAAATTGAATTTGAAAAAAAAATTATTTCTAGGTGTTCATTGGCAATTCATCTTTGCATGTTGACTTGGTATTTTGCCTCTTTAATGAAAATTGTTGATTAATTCTAACAGTTGTTTTCAAATTCTAGGTTTTTCTACATATAAGATCATGTCATCCACAGGCAGAGAACATTTAACTTTTTTTTTGCTCTTTTTTTCCTGCTTGACTTGACTAGGATTTCCAATACTATTCCAAATAAAAGTGGTTACAGAACACATCATTCCATTCTTCCTGATCTGATAAGCTTTCAGTCCATCATTGAGAGTTATGGTAACTGAGTTTTTATATGTGAAATAAATTAAGCTTACATTTAACAGTTTCTCATGAGTCTTAGGTGTGCATTATATTTTACCATATTTATTTATATTCTATAGAGTGAATCTGCTTCTCTTTTATATGTCAAAATCAGTATCTCTCCAACTACCTCATATCTTCTATGAACTTCTACTTTATTATGTGATTGCCAGTAACAATGAACCAACACCTAGTCCCAATGACTCTTAAAACTTTGAGGAATTTTTGAAATTAATTTTTGAATTATGAGGTAATGTAGAATCCCATATGTGAAAGCCTGAAATAATGTCAAGAGATCCTGTTTATACCTTACCTGGTTTTAACCAACGGTAACATCTTGGGAGACTATACTGCAATAATACAACTAGAATATTAACATTGATATAACCAAGATATAAAACCATTCTATACCACAAGGATCTTCATAGCTGCACTCATGTCTTTCCCATCCTCTACTCACTTGCCTTAACCCATGGAAACATGATTCTCTTTTTTTTTTTGAGATGAAGTCTTGCTCTGTTGTAGGATATTGTTTGCATACCAGAGACTGTGCTTATACATTCACACCTATTAAACCTGAAAATAATTTATTCGAGCTACCCATTTTGTAATTTTAAGATAATACTTGCATCTGTTAGAAGTATGAAAGAACTCTAATTTGCAAAGCAATTGAGTTCATTTGGGCACAAAAATTGCAATAAAATAGATTTTGTGTCCAAGCTGATTGTAAGAATATGTC